TCAGGGTTTTGAATTTTTCTTTTCTATTTTACTTTGGAAAGGCTTTATTCAGGAGGACTTTTTCTGCATTTTTCTCGGCTGAGCCACCAAAAACATCTCTAACAACTTACCAATGCATTCGGACAAGATTTGATTTGAGTCTTAAGGCTAATAATTAAACACGATGATGCATTCTCAGTTTTGAAACATGAGACTAGTGAATTCACTGAATCAGGATTTTTACATTTTTATTGCTAAAATTCTTTGCACTGTTAAGAGTTTGGCTTTACAATGGTCACTGTTTTAAGGTCAGGGCCCAAGTGTGTAAAAATATTGTTGGATTTCTGATCTGTGACCATTTTGTTTCTTCACTTTAACGGTCTTGTTACCTTATCACGGATCCTACACCAGTTTCCAATGCTCACAAGCTTTATGTACACAGAATATTTTTATTATTTTTTACTGTATTACTTTTAAAGTTGCAATATGAAATTCTTGTTTGTCAGATGAAGAAAAGAAGTAGAGGTGAAAGGCTGTTGGCCGCCTACTATAATGCATCTGTCTGCAAAGGAAAATGTGTTCTCCCTTATTTTCAAGGTCTCGATCAGTGATGGATAGATGACCCAATAAAACCTGGGAACTGAGGACACAGAAAATTGTTTTGCACTTTATGGTTTTTATGTGAAATAATAGGGGTTTTATTAGAGTTTGGAGCAGTTTTTTCTCAGAATCAATACACAGGTCATGTCACATTGCTCCTTTTTTAAAAATCTAAATTTAATTGGGTCATCTAATCTCAGAGATTTTGAAATATGAGGGTTTTTTTGTCTTAGAACCAGCTTCTGTATGATTCCAGCATCATGCCATTATTTGAAATTTCCCATCCATAGGTTCAGTACAATAGAGCATAATAGGAATGAATTTATACAAATAGGCTCCAGTTCTCATTTCAGCTCTAAGAAACAAACCTGAGCCACTGGGCTGAGCATGAGGTTTTTCCATTTTGCTGGAATCAAGGAACATGAATTCAGCAATAATCTGTTTCCTTTTACATGTTGGCGGAGCAACTGAACGAATTTGAAAGTGTTCCTTTTTTCATTTTTGAAATACAGAATACCATGTAAAGGATACACCATGCCAATTAAATTCCATTTCTGAATGCATTTGCATTGTTTGAATTATCATTTTTGAGGTCATCGCTGTTCATGTCATGCAATTCTGAGAGATACATTTACTGATACAGACACATTTCTGTTATTTAGATTATTGTGATATTCATGACTATAGCTTCTTTTGTCAGTGGTTAAGCTTTTACGTTTGTCAGGTATTTGCAATCAGGCGTTACCTTTTTTTGCCTTGTACATTCAGTACTTTATTCCCCATCTTACTTACATTATCCTTTTAAGGCCTGTATATTACTCTTTTATTGTACTGGTCTTTATAGCAAATTTGTGTTACATATTTTCAAGTAGTGGAAACGCATTCAGGCTCAGCGTGAGTGAGAGAAGTCCTTATGAATGCAATGATATTGTGGTACACACACTGTAAAACACAGCTGTCCCATTTTCAACTGAGGGACGTCTGACGCTGACTGCAAATAAGTAACACGTTAAAAATATGCTTAGCCATTTAGATGTCAAAAACACATGACTCTTAAAATGTAAATGTAACACTTAAAAAAAACAATAGACCCTGCATGGTTAAAGGTAACCAGATGAGCAGAATGTTGTTTAATGTAACATGAGGACATCTTCCCATCTTAAAGAATCAAACAATAGTCAGGTGTATTTTTTGCTCACTTGCACTAGAAGTGCCTTAGGAAGACATCTTTAAATCCTTTAACTATAGTTGTTTTTCATCGACCTTCTTATGAATCCCCATGAATCACTCTCAAAAGACCACTTTCCACAATGTGAGGTGTGAAGACTGGAATGGTTCTAGATATTTTCTGCAGACCTTCCACTAATTCAAACATCCCCTTGACACCATGATCAATGTATGCTGCATTCACATACAAATACTGAGGCTGATCTGGGTTTGACATCGGAACATAAGACTTGCGTGAAACAGTTCCTATGCTTCAAACGGGTGGACAAAAGCCTGCAAGTACCTTAAGTTACAGTTCTTAAGTGTATGAGTGAGTGCATTCCACCACTGGCAGTCACACAAGTCAATGTGCAAATGTTCTGCACTTAATTTAAATGATTATAAGAAACTCCACATGCAGTTTGATAATAAAACTGGATTTGCATGTAGCTTTTGGCTCAAAGAAAAAGGGTTGACCTGAAGAAAAAAAACAAGTAGTAAATCCACCGGGCTTGTTCTTCCTCGGGGTCGCTGCGTCCTCAACAGGAAGAAGAAAAAAAAAAAAAGGTTTAGGTCAAGCCTTGTGGTTTTGCTCCACTAGATGGCGAGAAATACAACAGAATAAAGGGCCCGTAGACTGAGCCGGCCTGTATGGGCTTGTGAAATGGCGTCCCGATGAGATGGTGCTGAAGTTATTTGCCTAGTCACCACTAGTCTAACAATAAATAGACTCCACGACGAGGCGTCATTTCTGTAACTTTATTAAAGAGAAACAACTGCACTGTAGGGAGCCATGATAAATGACTGCTGTTCTCTGCGACATTCAACAGTTGCCGGGTTTTTAAGTTGTGGCTCTGTGTGTGTGTGTGTGCGTGCGCAGTAACTTCACTACACCGACTAACACGGCGGTTTCCTTCGCTGTGCGCGCACACGTCGCCAGAGGACGATAAGAGCGCGGCAGATAGAGGACGAACTCCTGAGGCTGCACACCAAACATTTTTATACGAGCTATGTTTACGCCTCTCATCTGTTCACCGCCTCACCCGACTGAAACGGAACAACTGATTCCTGGGAAATGTATTCACGACACAATCCCTCCCCCTTAACGCCGGCGGCCGGCGCAATACACTTCCCACAATCCACCGCGTTGTTGTTAGCGACCCCATCTTGTGTCCTCATGAATATATAGCAGTCGGTATTTGCGTAGGAGGTCGGCCGACGTTCATTTCATATTCCAGCGCTGTATCTCGGTCTAAATGGGACGCACAGTCACGTCTCCGCCCTGAGCTGTCCCCGCGCGCCCAGCCTCCTCTTTTCCAGCGTATTGAATCGGTAAAATGTTTTTTTTGAGCAGCGGAGGAGACTCCGACAGGGAAAGGAAGGCAAGAAGTGGATGACTACCAGTGGAATAAGTCAGCAACACCGCCCAGTCGGCGGACATTGACCACGGCGGCCACGCGTTTGAAGGCTTTTAAATGTAGAGGCTGTAGGTGTAACCAAGTGCGCACCGTTATTTATTTAGAGTGGGGGGCTTTTCATTGGCACAGATGGAGAGTGTGCATGCCGTCGCTGAGGATGGCGCGTCGGATGGAGGCGCGACCAAGTTAATGAAGAAGCCCAGCGGACTGTCTGTCGCCCGGGGGACTCCGGTGGATGACGGCGGTGGACATTTGGCACCCTCCCGCGTAGAGGCAAAGAACGGGAATAGCCTCTCTCATTCCGCCTCTACCGTGGGCTCTAGTGCGTCGCACCGCACTGTGGCGTCTAATGGCCGGGCTTCATCCAGCAACTCCAGCTCCCTCCTGTTGAGACGGAGGCGCTTGAAGAGGAACCTCTCCGCCGCAGCTGCAGCCAGCGCCGCCGCCACCTCAGCTGTCACCGCCGCCTGCGGCGCCAAGATGAACTCGGCCCTGTCCTCTGCGTCGTTACACACCCGGAGTCTGGATAGGAAGACTCTGCTCAAACACCGACAGAACATGCAGCTGCAGCCCGCGGATCGCGAGTGGGTGAGAGCGGATCTCCACCGGGGCTCCGTACATGTCCACGACCGACTGACGCCCTCATATCCCAGACCGGTTCTTTGCACTATGGACACCACGGCCGGCGAGGTGGCGCTCCGTCTGAGTAAACTCTGCAGTAAGTCGAGCTCCGTGATGCGCATTTTTTGTAAAGATAACCCCAAGACTGACCAAAACGGCAACTGCAATGTGAAGTACGAGTATAACGATAACCCGTGCAAGGTGGGTGAAGACGCGGGGATGAAATGCAACCACCTGACTCCCCTGGAACCCACGGAACTGAGGGGCCACCCGAGTGACAGGCTGAGGCTGCTGCTCATGGAGGATGCAGATGAGAGGCAAAAGCAACAGGACGTTGATGGAAAACTTTTCACCCCAGAATCAGAGTCACAAGACAACATAGCCTGCTCGCTGTCAGATTTAAATTCCAACTCTAACATGGATACCCCCAACGACGACGACTCGGAGCACAGGAATGGCGTGGACAGCTATGGATTAAATTCTGGCTCAGACGTGGAGAGCAGTGCTTTTGATGACCTGAGCTCCGGGGCCCGGCTCAGTGAGCACAGGGACTCCCTCAGCGACGACATGGTCCTGGGCACAGAGGCGTCCATCCTCAGCCCTTCGTTCGATAGCGCCACAGAGGGCCATGACATGTATGGAAGCTCCTCGGACGAGCTGGAGCTGGACTGCCCCGCGTCTAGCGCCAGCATGGAGCCCATCTCCCAACACCACACCAATGGGATGAGTGCTGTGACTGCCGGCTACAAGCAGTGCAACATGGAACATTTAAACAACTTGACAAACAATATGGGGCCAGAGAGCAGACTCAGCCCACACAGTCTGGGCAGCCTGCCACCCAGCAGTAGTGCCGGCTCATTGTCGAGAGCCTGTTCTACAGGTAATACACCTGACATCCAAGATCCGGACTGTGGCCAGGGTGCTGTGAAATCGAGGCTGACAGCAGATCACAATGGAGATTCCTGTGATTCCAGCCCCATGCTGTATGTTCAGCTGCACGGTGAGGCTGTCAGGAGACTTAGCCCAGATGAGAGGCCTCTGCAGATCCAGAATGACTTTCTCTTCAAGCTTGGATTTAAGGACCCATGGAGAGTTCAAGAGGAAGGGCTTAACACTGAAATTGGCTCCT